GTAACTGACAGCATATGAATGAACAAGTGAGTGTTTGATATAAAGCACCTGGGAGTTCTTTTTCACTTTTGCAGACTTATATGTCTTATCCAAAAAGTCAAAAACTGATTTGCAGTTTATTAGCTAAGATTGCTCAAAACTCAGATATTAATCTTCTTGAAAAAACAGTTGTGATTATTATTTTGATAACACACTAATTACAAGGCTGCACACGACTTATAATTGTGTTTCTAAAATCAATCACATAAAATAAAATAAAAACTTCAAATACTCAGTAAATTTTTCTAATGATCAATAAAATGAAAAGTAAAAAAAATCTGTAGTTTAATAAAAAAAGAAAGAACACAGTCGATGGTCAATGGAACAGTATGAAAAAGAAATAAAAGTAGAAAAAAATTTCTCACAATATGAGAAAATTTATACACTACAATCTTCTTTAGAGAAGAAAAATGCAACACTCTTTAAACACGGTAGTGTTCTCTTTTTTTTTTTTGTCTTTTTGCGCTAAATGTTATAACATCATGGGTTGACTCCATATTCTTCCATCAAAGACGATGCCTGTCAGAATACATGCAATACCAAAATTATTAAGAAGTTCAAATGTACTGAACCTATAAATTATAAAGACATGGGCCTAAAAAGAAAGAAAGAGAACAGAGGTTGTCTTTCTAACATTTTTTGGCTCGCCACTGCTGTCATCACTGCTCCAAGTCATTAATTAGATTCAAATGGCAGTCAGAACAGCTGAACTTCTACGTGCGTTGAGCTATGAGATGATAAAATTAAGTTGAATTCCTAATTGATTGTTTTCCTTATATTTCATATTAGACTCTTTCAATTCTTCTCACCTCCAAGTTATAGTGAAAGTAATGAATTTAATTTGGTTGCTACAGTATGATGCCTGAGAATACAAAGGCATGACAATGACTAAAATGGCTTTTGAATAATTTTTATAGCTACCAACTTTTAGGGAAAACATTAGAAAGAGAACCACGTATGAAAAAAATCATATTAAAAACGTAATGGGCAGAGAAGGTGTTGTGTTTAATAGGCAGTATCATATTAAAAACGTAATAAAAACTGCATCTACAATCCCAAGCATGCAACTATAAATACTAATACCAAGTTTAAAACAACTCCGTAATTTAAAAGTAGTTGGATTAGATAATTAGATTAGATTTCAAAAAAGTTATCAATTATCTATAAATTGAAAAAATAATTAAGTTAGCCAATCAAAATACAGAAAAACAAAAAAAAATTAAAATTTATTAAAAAATAAATAAAATGCTGAACAAAGAGAACGATTTGAAGCTTCTCTCGATTTCAGCTTTCATATAAATACATAGATATATATACTTTCAATATAAAAAAAAAAAAAAAAAATATTTACTGCTTCAATATAAAAAAAAAAAAAAAAAAAAATGGTCTCAATCAATCTGTGAAGGGAAAGGCATCAGCATGGGTCATTGCACTTGGAAGTTGGAACAGGATGAGTTGCGCTTAACAGGCCATTGTAATTGGACCACTCCACTTTCCAGTTTTTTAAAACTGGACCATTTTGGATTGGATAAGGACTAATTGGTTATGGGTCAGCTCCTTCAGCCCACGTTTTATTCTGAAATTCTGAAATTTGAATGATCATGAAAATTAAATATCTCCTACATTTATTATATATATTTTTTTGTTTGTTTTGGTTGTTAGAAAACAGAAAAGATATAATTTATGTAATTAATAAATTAATTTCACAACCTTCAACGACAGAAATCTCACCTTAATTTTATTTTTTTATTAATGATATAATTTAAACTTTATGAGTTTAATAATTTATAAAGTTTAATTTTTTATGGAATTTTGTAATATAAATTTACTTTTTATCAATACAAACAACCAGTAAACGCATTTCTTAAGCGATTTTATAAAAACTTCCAATTCTTCATCCGGAAGGATTGTTCGAGTAGAGGTAACATATATATAATAATTATAATATATATATATAATATATATATATATATATATATACGATATATATATATATATATAATATATATATATATATTTATAAAATGACGATGCCAGCAAAAGTAAAAACGAAAGCAGATATATATATTTATAAAATGACGATGCCAGCAAAAGTAAAACGAAAGCAGAGAGCTACAGTCAAAACGACACGTCAAGGCGGAAAAAGAAGGTGCCACCGCCCACCGGCTAAAAAAGGTTAGCACGCACGCTTTTTATAACATCTGCTTTTTATCTGAAAGGTAGAGTAAACAATCACGAAAGGCTCTGTACCCAATTTTACAATCTAATTATAAACAAAAATTTAGCTGGCGTATCGTATTATATAAAATGAAAATGAACATCACTGTTTATATTTAGTTTATAAAGACAGTTTTGCCCCACGAGAATAAGTTGAATACTTTCACTGAGCTAATAGGTTGAATACACACGTGCCACAAAATCCAACCATTTGATTAGAGTATTTTTTATCAAACTTTAGCTCACCAACCACTGTAGATGTGTTATGAATTCATGATCTTTTCCTATTTTTGTTATAAATAATACTTCTACACGTGTGAGCTTTATTATGGTTTTATTTTAAAATTTTGGCTCTTAACTACACACACCTTGACTTTGTTTTAATTATATTATGTCATAAAAATATCAAATCTTTAACAGTAACTGTTTATATTTTAATTTAATTTAGATGATATGTTTTTAATGGTCCAAAAACATCTTAAATTTTCATTATATAATACAATGTATCAGAGTTATTGTTTTAAGAATGATAATTTTGCCTATAAGGAAGTAAACAAGTGTGGTTTGACTCAAATTACATAGACGCCTTAAAATGTTTAATACAGCGTGTGTGTTAGATATTGGCATCTCTCATATACTCTCGACCCATATTGAAGACTTTAAAAAATGTGTCACGTTATTTTTTTTTATAATAATTTTAACATTTTTAGAATACCTTGAAGACATTTTATGAACACTTTAGAGATACCTTTTAAAAATTCTATAAGACTTTTAGATGAATTAATAAAAATTTTAAATTGTTGTCTTAAATATGAATGATAATTATTAAGACCAAAAATATAAAATTAAAATATACATAAAAACTTCGCTCGGTATAAATGAACTCAAAATTTTTTATATTAGAATAAATTCAAAAATTGAAAAAATTCATTTATTTTTATTACTAAAACAGTATTTGCATAATTTTAGAAGACTAGGTTAAGTTCGGCAAATACTTTTTAAGTAATTTTTAGTGTTTTGACCAGTTAAAAATAGCTAATTTTGCCAAACAGACCCTAAGAGATAAATACTTTTGTGGGTTGTTTAAATTTGTGGAGTTTATTTGCAAATTTCTCATTTTTTTTAATAGAATTTCATTTAGTTATATTCAAATTTATTAAATTGAATTATTCATTTTTTCCATACCAAATATAAAAATTTAGATTTGTAAATGAATTCTACAAAATTTGGTGGCATAATTTATTTCAAATAAGAAGAAAGAAATGAAAAATTCTATCTTATAATTTACAAATTGTAATGTACTACATATCTATTATTATCAAATTTAAGAGCTAATTCTTAATGTTGTTCGAAATTAGTATAATTTACAAGGCTTTTATATATAAAAAAATGTTGATAATATTATGTTGAATGAACAAATATATGTAATGTTGTCATAGATTAATTTAATATTCATTTAAAGGTGTCAAAATTTTTTATTGTCAATTTTATCTCTAAATAAGTCCGATGCTATAATGTTCAATTCTAATGTTAATTTTAAAATTTTAAATAATGACGTTGAAATAATAAATTAATATTTTTTATTTTACGTTTATGTTTTATTATAAATGATTGTTTTACTTATTTGAATTAATAATAATTTATATTTATTTAATATAGTGTGCCCTAAAGTTGTTGTTCTTTTTTTTTTTTCAAAATTACCATGTCTCGTGGCGAGCTGTGTCGTGTCCCACGTCTCATATCGATATCTTTGCAACTCGGTGTTTGACACATAGTTTGCATATTTATTTTTATTTTTGAAACTATAATATAAAAAGTCCTAAAAATAAAAGTTGACAATATTTCAAATTGAAATGGACCAAACTAAAAATTGAAGGTTTCATAAATCTTTTTGAAAAGTTAAAGTTTTTTGTAAGAAATATAGAAGTGAATTAATTTTCTATTTTATTCTAATTTTTTCATTTTTTTAGTTTAGAATTTTTTTTAGAATTGAATTTCAATTACGTAATTAGCTGAATCTATTTAGACTTAATTTTAATTTAAACTAGACGGGTGACCAGCCTAAATTTTTTAAAAGCACACAAAGTTATATCCTAATGGTAAATGTATTTACGACATGACGGTGTATCTAAGTTGAATCCCCTCTCCAAAATACTAAAAAAAAAGCTTAATCTTTTACAAAATAAAATAAAGAAAAAGCTCTAAGACATTAAAAATAAACAACCATCTAACATATAAAACTATAAATGCAAATTGTGTCATAATTTTCTAATTAAAGAATTTCCAGTAAACAAAAATCGAAATCTCATTGAATTCAATTTTGGAGGTTGATGGAGAAAAAGCTAAAATGGATAAAAACTCCAAATAATAGCAATGAAAACTCAAAACAGAACAGCAATGGTCTTAATAACATATGCCCAACTAACATTCCAATCCCAAATAAAATCTCTCTCTCTCTCCCTCTCTCTTACTTCACGATAAATCCGCTATACATAAACAAAACAGAACAACCCACCATTCAAACACTTCACTCCACCTCCTCCACGTGTCATCATCTTATTGGACTTTCCTTTTCCTTCTTTAGAAGGAAATATCCCACAAAGTAACATGACCGGTAGCTTTAAGCCAACCCCAATCCTCTTTGGAAAATACGTATTTATACATGTGAATACGAGCACGTTTATACGTATCCATACACGCATCCCATTATAAGAACTCCACTATATGTATATCTATACCGTATAAAGTAATACGTATTATATACTCTGTGCGTGTATATATATACTTTGGTTTCTCATTGATTTCTTACCTTACCAAAGAAGAAATATGGCTATCCGGTTCTCTTTCTTTTCTATTTTCTCTCTCCTCATTGTCTCTGCCGTGATTGCGGAGACGTTGACCTCATCGGAAACGGTGGAGGATCCTTTGATTAGGCAGGTGGTTGACGATGGCCGCGGTGAGGCTCATGTGCTGAGCGCAGAGCACCACTTTTCGCTCTTCAAGAAGAAGTTTGGGAAATCCTATGCTTCTCAGGAGGAACATAACTATAGGTTCAAGGTGTTTCAGGCTAATCTGAGACGGGCTGCGCGTCATCAGAAGCTAGACCCTTCGGCGAGCCACGGCGTCACTCAGTTTTCTGATTTGACTCCGGCTGAGTTTAAGAAGCAGTTTTTGGGGTTGAGATCGCTCAGATTGCCTAAGGACGCACATCAGGCACCAATTTTGCCTACTAATGACTTGCCCGAAGATTTTGACTGGAGAGAGAAAGGAGCTGTTACTAACGTCAAAAATCAGGTATTCTGAGAATTTATTTTTAAATTTTTCTTGGTATACCTTCATGTCAGGGTTATTGACGATAATGATTTGTGACTGGGGATTTAGGGTTCGTGTGGTTCGTGTTGGAGTTTCAGCACAACCGGAGCCTTGGAAGGTGCTCACTTCCTTTCTACCGGTGAGCTTGTTAGCCTTAGCGAGCAACAGCTTGTGGATTGTGACCATGAGGTTTGTCTCTTTACACGTTTTATTTCTTGATTCATCAAGAAGTTCTTGTCTATATATTTATAAATTTGTGAATTGTGATTGATTATTTTCTCATGTCTGATTGTATTACAACTGCACGGTTTTATATGGTTATTTAGTTATTTCCTGGAATGCCCTTACTGTTTGGTGATAATTCATTGTTAAACAAAATGTTTCTGGATGGAAGAGAATTAAATCTAGTTCCCTTATTGTTGAACATATTGCAATTTTTCTTTATAAACAAGTGAGTCAGGTTGTAAGTTGAATGCTAATTCATTGATATACCTGTGCAAGGTTTCCATATGAATTGAATACTCTCTTTTAATGTTGAAACTTGAATCATAAATGTTGGGTAATTTGTTTTGAAATTATGTGGATGAAACTAGAAACATGTTTCAGTTATTCATTTCCATTGATTGGTAAAATGACTCCTTAAATTTGGTGGGTCCTTTCATTGGTTTGTCTAACTTCAGTAAACTTGTGCTTATCTGCAGTGTGATCCAGAAGAGGCAGGTTCATGTGACTCTGGTTGCAATGGTGGGTTGATGAATAGTGCCTTTGAGTACACTCTCAAAGCTGGTGGCCTTATGCGCGAGGAAGACTATCCTTACACTGGTACTGATCGTGGCGCTTGCAAATTTGATAAGACCAAGGTTGCAGCTACAGTGGCCAACTTCAGCGTTATATCCCTTGATGAAGATCAAATTGCTGCAAATCTTGTGAAAAATGGTCCTCTTGCAGGTAAAATTGCCTGAATCTTCAATTGCGTGACTAATTTTAATTGCTCTTTTGTTATGGTGCGTCTAACTTCAGTTTTTTTTTGGTTTAATCCAGTTGCTATCAACGCTGTGTACATGCAAACATATATTGGAGGAGTCTCATGTCCTTATATTTGCTCAAAGAGGCTTGATCATGGAGTGTTGTTGGTTGGATATGGTTCGGCTGGCTATGCTCCTATCCGATTGAAGGAGAAGCCATACTGGATTATCAAGAACTCCTGGGGAGAAACTTGGGGAGAGAGCGGATATTACAAAATCTGCAGGGGTCGCAATGTTTGTGGAGTAGACTCCATGGTGTCAACTGTTGCTGCAGTTCAAACCTCCTCACAGTAGGCTGGTGCATCCAGCGATGTTATGTATGCTGGATCTTCTGTATATAAGTATGTTATAATATTATGTCAGCTTTGATAATTCGAACTGTTTATCTGTCATATGTCCACCCAAAGCATTGGATTGGAATTTCCTGGAAATTCCTCTTCTTGGGGTTGTCAGAACAACCGACTGTTGGATTGTCAGATTGAAATTGCTTGGAAATTTCCTATAATCTGGTTAGTCAGTACAACTGAATTTATCTTAGTTGTCTTATCTTATGGCTTTATCTGATATATGCGGTTATGGGAGATGCTGAAAATGAATAGATAAGAATAGTATAAAATGAAAACACATACATTATCCATGATATCATAATCTTTGTCTGTACATCCTAGTTTTGGCAGCTTAGCAGCTCCATTGAGTTTTGTATTTTTCTTTTTTGTTGTTCTGAACCAAACTGGTATAGCCTTCACATTATCGTTATTTTTTATTGTGATTGATTGTAGACATTTAGCGCCTTTAGACCTCAATGATTACTCTGTTCACACCAAATGATCCTCTGACCATAATCAGAGGAGATCCCTTTGCTTTAAACCAAACCTAGCCAAAATATTCGTACGCTTACTAGCTTCATAAACAGTACGCTTAAAAAGAACCATCCAATTTTGTTGTATCATTCTATGACATCCCTTGCACCAGGCTAATCGCAATCCATACCAAATAGCTCATAACTCAGCAAACGAGAGCAAAAACCGGATTAATCCCGAACCAGACCACCTGCAGCACTAATCTGTCTATCCAAAACTACTGAACCATCAACATTAAACTTTACCCACTCTTTATCTGGACAAGACCATCTAGTTTGTTGCCTAGGACAAGCAGGAGAAGAAATATTAAGTTACGTTGTGCCAAGCTATTTGCAGCCAAAATCGCATTCTTACCCTATCGAATTATCTCTGCACCAAAGTTTACAAGAACTTTTGATCCCTTCCAGCATCATTGAATTATTAAGGCCCCATAATTTCCAGAAAGCAACTCCTAAAGCTCTAGTCCAAGGCAATCCATCACCCCACTTAACTGAATTTGAAGATTATTACCAATCTAATTCTTCAATCCCTCAGTGAAGAATTGTCTTCCAATACGGTTTGGAATAAGAGAGAAACCAGATGCTGTTACTAACATGACAATCATTTACAGCATGCAAGATGGTCTCCACAAATATGTATCTTTGAACACAACATAGACCAAAATTAGTAGTGTGCAAAATACTTCTTAGGTACAAGTTTTACTCCATTCCAAACAGGAGGTGAACTTGAGATAATGGCTACATTACTTTGATATTCATGATAAATTTTCAACGGATACAAATAGCACAAATAATTTTGCATAAACCAATGCTAAGAGGGGAAAAGCCATATCTTTTCTTTTTTATTTTTTTATTTTTTAAATAGAACAATGAATAGATAAAGGTTGAATAAATTAAACATTTCCTTATTATTGCACTAGGCAACAAAATAACTGCCATCACATACAAACCCACCTGCCAAACAACAAAACTGCTTATTCCTTCCAATACAAAAAGAAGAATTGGAAGGGCAAGGAGCAGTGCTCAAATGGTTGAAAGCTCCCTCAGTTCCCCCTCTACAATGATTATACCAACCAACTTCTCATCATGTTCAAATGAATAAAATCAACAAAAGTCTATTCCATTACTATGCACATGCCATCAACTCTGATGCCGACCATGATTTGAAGCAAATCATTCATCCTCATCATTAATTAGTGCCAATGAAAAGGGAAAGAATTTGTAACCATCTCCCTCATAGAACTTGTTCTGGAATTCTACCCAGTGAAGCCGCAATGCATGAAGGAAAGCACTGAGAGTTTCCATCACCAGCAACACGCCAATTGTTGCAAAAATAAAGACGATGATGCCGACAATAAGGATAACTACATTGTTAAACCTGTGGGATGTGCAAAGCAGTGTCATTATTGTCTATATAATAACTGTGTATTTTAGCTGAACATTATCGACTACTGAGTCCCTTAAGAGTTCAACTTATTTGTTGCAAAGAGTAAAATGCAAGATCCAGGAGTGCCCAGAATTTTTCTTTTAAGAATAATAAGTAAAATTACCATAATAAGTAAATGGACATAATTATCTATCTTCTATGGAAGTAATAATAAATTGAAAAACTAAAAACTCGTAGAAACTGCTTTAATAGACGAGATGATGGGATGTAACATACCCCCATGCAAGGAGAAGAACCTTCTCATAGAATACACTTGACAGCTCAGAGTGGGCAAGACTGCAGAAAGAAAGAACGCAGGATAAGGCATATCGTTAGCTTTTATTAGAAGGATCAGATGCCAATCCAAATTAAGAAAAGTGTGGAAGACATTTAGGTGGCATTGCCGTATTCAAGGGAGGATGAGCTCATCCTAGGTCATAAGAGAGCTCTTCTCACAACAAATGCACAGAGCTGAAGATGATGTCTTATGTCTCTTAAGAAAAGAATATGAAACGATGTATATACATGATCTAAAGTGTATAGCAATAAGGTTGAAAAGCATTAAGGTTGAAAAGCACTCATGCATGTCAAAAACAAATGTCCAATTGTCCAGCTTAACATAGATTTTAACAATAAGATACAGAACTGCACTAATTTCACCCGTGCTCATAATTGATCAAGGATTTGAATGCAGACCAACATTTAACTTCAGTTTACTACTGACATATACTGACATACCTGAGGGCCCATAAACGAAGGTAAGAAGCTGTGTTTGAGACTGCCCCAAGAACAAATTCAATAGTATGTATCAGTTGATGCACAAAAACTTCACTGAATTCAAATTCCTCATGACCATAAGAGCCATGGTTTGCATCCACTTGAAGAGACTCCTCAGTTGTCTGAAGTAGTGTGTATGATTGGCCTTGGTGCCTCTGAAAAACAAGACCATCAGAACCAATGGAAAGAGAAACAGACTCCAATGTTCTTAAACATATGAAGTAAGAAACTGGCAAATAGGAGAACTGTAGCATACATCTTGGTGTTGCTTCTTCAAAACAAAAGGCTTCGGAAGCAGCATCCATGGCACAGAAACAAGGGCCAGTAATAATAGAGCAAGCTGAGAAAAGAAGACATGGGATAAACAATTGGAATATCTACATCTCATAATGGATGGGAATTGGAAATATAATTTGTAAAACAAACTAAAGATATAGGGCCAACCTGAGCTGTCTTTTGTCCTGGGAATAGCTGGTTTTCCCCCAATTCATCTGTTGGACTCAAGAACATGTATATCATCACATGATATAAATCAGCTTGTGAACCAGTCCACCACTTCACAATGATAAGGAGTGATAAATAGCCAAACAAGCTGTTTAAGAAAATCACTTGCGGAATGAATTGAAACCTGAGGAAAAAAAAAAAACGAGGACAGCTTTCAGTATTAGCACTCATTACTCTAGTGCTTCCATAACTTCGGAAAAACTAGAAATATATAGGAGCAGATAGAATGTTAAACGTACCAGATATTCACATTATTCCTAAAATATAAAGCATTGAAGAAACTCAATATGATTCCAAGATTCATTTGGGCAACTCCAAGAAGGATTGACATTTTCATCTTCAGAGAGTTAAGAAATGGCAGCTCACTGCGAGTACCATGCCACACAGGATCCACACCAAATGGGTAAGTGGGGCCCACCTTAATCAATCCTACCGTAGTAGCATCCCTGCAGAACATGCAAGCAAAGAACCATCATAACTTGTAAAGGTCATGTTAGGTCCCAAGACTATTGGGCCTTACCATGAAAAATTGATAGTCCAGAAAGAGTAGGGATAGAAGAGGGAAATTGGAGGGAGAACAGGCACTGTTATTCATTCAGCATATGCAATATACCTCTATGTTTGCTATTTACAATTATAACCAATAAAACCTAACTGAACAAAAAAATTATTTTGGACAAAACAGCTCTCCATTCTTAACAGAGAACAACAAAATTATATCGCAGGCTAAGTTAAATACCTGCAAGAGAGATCACGACATGCATATGCTGAGTGTCCAAATAGCTCAAAGGGTACTGAGAAAAATTCATTGTAGATTAAACCAGTATAAATTGAGAAGAGGGCCATCATCAAAATAACATAACGACCACCAAAGGTCATTTCAGTGATATCCCCAAGCTTCTGTTGTTCACAAGAAAGAATGTATAATTAGATTCTGAGCATGGGGTGTAAACAATAGAATTGTTTCTTGATAAAATCACATCTATTTTTTTATTTTTTTAGAGGAGGACCACCAAAGAACACAAAAATAAAAATAAAAAATTGACAAACATGCCTAGGCAAATAGACCAAATAATATCTTCAACTAACAGACTCTTAACATCTACCGGGAGTATCAAATCTTTGTAGTAAGAGTGTAAGACAACAAAGAGAAGATATTTGTTATTAGATCTATAAATAGATTGGTGAAAGATGAAAGACAATTTGGAGTTAGAGGAACTAACTATTGCAGATTAATAATAATCATGCAAAACATCAAAATGTATGTGTTGTGTTGGTGATTAATAACAAGCCACAAGCAGTTCACCTGGCTAGAAAGTTTCTTTTCCCTGATTATAAAGACTAAAGTTGCAAGTAGCAAGCATATTCCATGCCCCCAATCTCCAAACATGACAGCAAAAAGGAACGGAAATGTAACGACAGTGTATACACCAGGATTTGCTTCTTGATACCTGGCCACCCTGCAATCATATTTAAAATGACATCATCATATTTCTATTAATAAAATTATATTTTTTTTTTATGTGAAAAGAAAAGTTACCCATAAAGAAATAAAGGAGAGTACATCATAAAGGACAATGAATGCTCCAATTCAACAGAAAACTATAAATGAGAACAATCAAGCTTAAAAAAGTAGTGCACTGTAATCTGATTATATAAAATAATATCTCACAATAGGAAGTTGAAAAGATAAAGTAAGATACCAAATAAATGATTAAATAGATGCATCCAAATGCGCAAATTTGTATATACATGCAGATGTAAACATGGCATACTTTTGGCAGCAAATTGCACAAAGAGTTTCATATAAAATGAGGTAGCAACTCATTGGGTTATAACATCAGTGAAAAAAGTACCAAATCACCTATTAACATGTTAAGCCAACACCAACCCACATGCTTGGGTTTTATCATTTACCATTACTGCATGATACTAAATATAATAAACTGTGAAGCTTGTTGAATGTCGTGGTCTTTTGTTAGAGTTGTTGGTAAGCATTGTTAATGCATATAACAGTGCTACAACAATGACCGAAGCATATGGAACAAAAGCACAAACTATCTAAATCACATGATAGAGAACAACCACTTGCATCAAATATGAAGACAAATTTGTATACCGTATATCATTTAAATATATCAGTTATCTAACAAATTCACCAAAGAAAATAATAACATAGAGACTAATTTAGAGTCAACTCACCCATAAGCATCAACAATTTCTTGAAAAGCAGAAGTAAATTTATTTGTGCGAAAATATGTAGGTGGTGACTCCTTTGTATGCAACACCTGGAAAATGGGCCCAACCTGTGAGTTGGAATCAAATGCAGCTCGCTGCAATGCTTCTTGGATCTGCATGGATCAGGCTCAACTTAGTTTTCGTCTGTGCCCAACAAACATTTTGATTGTATATCTTAGTGGCAAATTAAAATGAAACCATTCTAAATTAAAGTCAAAATATTAACCTGCTTCGAGGCAAAAACTGGACTCCAACCCTCAGCCACAAGACACTTTTTAGTCACATCAAGACTAAGCATATTCAGAGTGTGGTAGATGGACTTCTCCTTCCTCACCTTCATGATTTTAAAGATATTATGATTAATGACAGCATATAATCCAAACAAAGAAAATGTCATATATGCTCTTGGATGGAATGAGGATCTGAAAACTGAGAAAAATAAGATTTATAATACAAATTGTATGTCAAAAGGGGCAAGATTATTTCCACAGCCCCATTGGCCATGTATAGAGCATCATTAATACAGAAAATTATGAGGAAGAATGATGGATGTCATTTGGATGAAGTTGTTCTTGAAAACAAAATAATTTTCCCCTCTTCTTCTGGTTTCGGGGATACGTTCATTTATGAGTAGTTCACCTTCAATTTCATTCCTTGTTTTGTTTCCCATTGTCTTCTACCTCTAATTTCTACAACTTCCAATTGACTTTCAAAATAATAGCAATAAGTCCATAAAGAATGGAATAATATCATAGTAACTATAAATCCAATTGATAAGTCATTGTCAATTGTCATGAATGAGATTTTTACCAGACCAAATCAAGAAATAGACCCAAAAGATAAATTCAGTTAACTAGAAAAAGCAATTGCATTCTATTCAAAATCTGGCTTCTTATTTATGTCATTTACAGGAAGTGCAGCTCAGCAAAAGAGGAGAAAAATAAGGATAAAAGAGCAACAAGAGATAATAAGATCAAGCATCCGTGAAATTCCACCAAATCAAAATAAAGGAAGAGATTTAGAGAGGAAAGTCTACATTTTACAAAATGAAAGAGTGAAAATACAGCAACATTTTTGTAAAATACTACAACCACAGATTTGATGTCACATATTTAGCAAGAGAGACGGCAAATAATGTGAAGGAAGCATCTTGCACCCAGTAAGCAACAAAACATGGTATCATATTAGTTGTTCCAAGTGTGCATAAATACAAGTGTGTGCATGTGCTTTTGCTTCATAGATTTTGGACAGACCAAAGAGTTCCACTGAACAAAGTGATCGCTAATAGTCTGCAACAAATTGCTCCTATGAAGTAATCCCGCATCTGTTGTAGTCTTCAGTTCAGAGAGTTTTCCTGAGACCTGAAAATGGAAATACCGCATCAGATAAAAAAAGGTTTAAACAACATATGCACAAAAACAGTTGACAACATTTGTACAGCAATCTCCAAATATCATTGTTCACACTCAAGAGTATAATTTCCTCGTAGTATGAACAAGTTGAAGTTTCAGATGTTTATAAGAGTGTAGAGCTAACAGAAATTAACTTCCCAAGATAAAAAAAGCATCAACAAGAACAAAAGTTTATACCTCATTGATCATCTGGTTATGTTTGCCAAGATCCTCAGTGAATGGATAGCGATTTGCCCCAAAAGCTTCACATATTTTGAGTAATTTGGCTTTAATTCTTTCTCCAGAATAGAAAACAACAAATACGTTCTTCTCAGTCTGTACATTGACGCTTAAAAGTCAGAGAAAGTGAAATGATGTTGCTCACACATATAGTTGGGAGACAGATGATTTTTCTGTGAGAACCCACAATTCATGCACTAACCATGACCATATCAGGATGCAGATGACTTCTTAATAAAATATACCACACATAAAAATGTTTGTTATCTAACCATGCATTGAGGCTGGAAAATTTTATTCAATAAAACTGACTGGATTCGCATCACATGACAACATCCAAAGGCATGTGCATAGACCCTCACTAAAACTTAGATTGGTATGTCACACAAATTGAACAATATGTACGAGAAAGAAATATTAGTAGACCAATCCCATTATTTGACAAGATTCTTGGACATGATGCCTGTTCCTTACAGAACCAAAACCATAGCTTTTCTCCATTGGCCTTTCTCTTTTGGGGTGACCATAGAATGATGACCCACCTCAATCCATTCAAGAGTAAGGGGATTACCTTTGTGGAAGAATCAATCCTCTTTCTTCTTAGTGACTAATACTTTCATTTATGATCAACATTTTCCCAAGTCCTTCGAAGAAATTTATTTCTATGGAAAAATAGAATATTTTGCAGGAGTGTTAAGACTGTCCTATGGTGTCAACACTTGACTGACCGGAGGACCTACCTACCTAACTAGCCTAACCAAATTAGGGCTATCTACCATGCATTATTTATAAGAGTACTTATAGCAACAATATAATGGTTACAATAAAAGGTACAAACTAACCTTCTCCCCAGAAACGGGATCAGTTACAGAATATTTTGCAGGAGTGACTAATCCTTTCATTTATGATCAACATTTTCCCAAGTCCTTCAACAAATTTATTTCTATGGAAAAATAGAATATTTTGCAGGAGTGTTAGACTGTCCTATGGTGTCAACACTTGACTAACCGGGGGACCTACCTACCTAACTAGCTAAAAAAATTAGGGCTATCTACCATGCATTATTTAACAGAATACTTATAGCAACAATATAATGGTTAGCATAAAAGATGACCAAACTAACCTTCTCCCCAGAAACAGGATCAGTTACAGGTTCCTCAACAGCTGCCTGCCTGATAAACACATTGCCCCTGGTAGCACGGAATATAATCCTTTCAAAAGCCAGAGACTTTGCTTTAGGAACAAGGCCAGTGAGAAACCCTAATTTGACTTGCTTTGATGAATCAGTTGACATTTCCTGTAGAACGACCAATCAAATAAAAATGCCATGAGCAATAATAAGATGCAGACATCATTATGATACCAAAATCTTTAGAATTCATACCTTGTCAGCTAGTAAAGGAGTATCCAGCGATTCTTCACCAACTTGACGTGATTGCATTTCCCTCTGCTGCGCAGTTGCACTGCTTAAAGCTGAAGAAAAAAACTCACCAGCCTAACAAAAAGAACATCAGTATCTTGCTAACTTGTTTATTAAGCACCAAAAGTATTACTAAAATATTTATTTGAAAAAGAAAACTTCCCACCCAAAAGAAAAAAAAAATCTCAACATATAATTTAAATTCAGATAAGAACACTCCATGCAAATCAAAATTAATGAAGAAATTACAGAAATTAAGCTTATACAAAACTAAAAGGGCTTGAAGCCGTAGCAGGTGAAAAACTACAAACACGCTGCTTGTTAAATATATTCCCAGATTAACTGAGAAATAAACATTAAAAATTTTTTTACTCAAAATTCTATAAGTACCTTAATGACATCAAATGTGACATGTATCAAGCAGATAAAAAATTACCAAATGAAAAGAAATTAACGAAAATTTTATTGCACTCTAGATTAGCTGAAAGACATCTATTCAATTGGTAAAATCCAAGGCATAACTAATTTTAGGTGCTTAATTATACTGCTTGAACAAGTGGCACAAAATCTAATAGCTAGACTTATCATACACCTATGGGAATTCAGCTTTTCTAAATTTATTTATTTAAGACCATCAACGTCATTTATCTTGATATTATTCCTTTGCTAACCTTGCATTTCCCTGCTGCCTTTTCTACCACCATCTAAGGACTAGATAAAATCTTGAATATTAACCATTAGGACATTCATGCTTCTCTATGACGGTATTATGTCACTAGCAGAAAAAATAATCATTTCTCGGTCATAGCAGAAAAAGCAGCCATACCTTCTGGAGAACAAGCTTATATTCAATAAGCTCATTATAAGTTCGTTGTAATTTATCATTATTTGCATTCATTTCAACCAGTTCTGCCTCAAGTTCTCCAAGTTTTAACTAGCACGTGCAAAAAAGGAGAAAAAAAGTTAGAGCATGACACACCAAAAGCATTTAAGTTGGACATCAACTTCTTGCCATACCTCTAGGCCATCCATATCAATGTTAGTTTGGGTCACAGATTTTGATGAAGGCGAAAAACCAGCCTTCTCCATTTGCTCTTTGAAAAAACGTAACTTTCGTGCCATCTCTCCACATTTTTTTATCTTAACAAAAAAAGCAAACAAATAAATATTTCCACCACCAAATATCCACTTTGAAAGTTGAAACTGATAAGACATTCACAATAGTTGACAATAGAAACTATATTCACAGAAGGGCAGAAGCACATGCAATGTATTAACCTACCTCCATTATCTGTATCAGCATTGGTATTGTTTTCATATTTAACATATAAAACACAAAATGTTCAAATGTTTGAAACAGCCAAAGAGGTAGTGAATTGTGTTCTCATCCGTCATTGCTTAAGCATCGCAAAAAAATGCATTGCTTATAAATCTATTTTCTTTCACCTTTCTGTGTGTTCATAAGTAATTAAAAAACACCTAACTTAAGGGCGGTCCAAGATTTTATATGATGGAGGATCTCAATTTGAAGAGGAAGAATGAAAAAAAAAAAAAAAGGTTGCATTTTCTGAAAACATTTCAACTTTCATTGTACATCAGAACCAATTGTTGTAGGTAGTTAAACATTTGTTGGATCCTTATTGAATTAATGCAACCACAAAAAGATTTATTTGAATGTGTATGGGTCAAGTAGTTCACTAGTTCATCGATCAAGTTCTACATTTACTTTCAAGTCCAAATGCTAACAAAACAAAACAAAATATAAAATGTATACAGTTCATAAGTGCACCTGAGCAGCATAAGTTCTCTGAAATGGACTCTTCTCAGCATTGAGCTGCAAAACAAAAATAACGAGTTAAAATCAAAATCAAAACCTCCATATCTAATCAATCAGATATCAGTAGCTAATAACACAGAATTCATTCACTAGTAATCCCCAAGAATTACACGGTATCCTGTACTCAGAAGCAAGAAACCTTCAACCTCTGTAACCCTAACCACGATAATCTAAATCAGAAATCAAAATTACACGAAAATTCGAAATTCAATTCAACCAAATCACAAAAAACGTCATTGATTACGCAAAAGAGTAAAACAATCAAAAAAATCGAATTCGAATCCATCGGAACAAACAATTGAGCATCAGAAAAAAAGAGAGGGTGAAGATGGAGAAACAAGCAAAATAACTCCAAACTACACAAATAGAGATTGAATTTCAGTCCAAATAAGAGAAAAAATGTACGGACGTCTTTGAATTGAAGGAGACCAAGGTCGCCGAGATAAGAGACGGTGAGATGAGCGGACTCAATAGGAATGATGAGCTGCACCAATTGCATCGCTTCAGACCTGAACAGATCCATCGGCGGACAGCACCCTCCACGAGCCTCCCCCATTTTTTTTCCGTTACCTTTCCTTTCCTTTCCTCTCCTCTTCTCGCCGGTTGGACGGATTCGATTTCCTTTCCCCTCTCTCTCCCTCTATCAGACACTTGCAGCTGTTTATCTAATCAACTGGTAGGATTTGATCTGTGATAATTAACAAAGAAAAAAAAAAAAATTGGCACGAGCGACCTGAGAAAGAGGACAGTGAAGAGTTGTCGTGTTCCTTCTACTTATCACCACAAGCATCCACGTTTCCTCCCTTACGGTAATTTGGCTTTTGCAATTGTGTCCCAATCAAACGAAGTTTCTTTTCAGTTCTACCCTCAATAATCAAAGGTTCGTTTTCTTCCTTTCAACCTTGCTACGAGTGACAAATTTACTATGAGCACCTTAGTCTCTTACTCCTATTCTCATTCCTTACAAGATTTTAGCTTTTTTTACAATTGAATCCCTGTTATTGCATTTAATTGGATTTTTTTTTTGGAAAGAATGCATTTGATTGGAAGTTAAACCCTACGCATTATTAATTGACTACATTAGGCTAGTTCCTTAAGAAAATCCTATCCTAGATGAAGTTCTCTTCTTCAATTATACCCCTAACAGTAAAATATGTCAAATCATACGCATATTTTCTTTTTTTTTTAATAATTATAATTAGGGTATCTTAAATTAGTCTATGTAAATTGAGACTAATTCCCTTGGTGGGGGATTTTAAGCGTGCATTTCTCGTAATAATCATATATATTAAAAAATATTAAGTTTATAGTTCTCCAATGTTTCTCAATGGGATCAAATCATAGATCGTAGTTAATAAGTGAAGAAAGCTCATATCTATAAAATTTAGATTATTTTCGTTATTTTTTTTTATTTTTCCTTTTTCAATATGATCAAAGGTAAATAAGAAATATAGTTCATCAAAGATTTGACTCTAAAAATAAAATTTTAGCAGGTGATTGAATTCTTCGATATTGTATTACTTAGGAATTATTTCAGTTTGTAAATAATGTAATGTAATATAACAAATACATTACATGAATTTGTTCTAATGTTACTTTTGATTATGCTCCATTACATAGTTCACTAAAATATAGCGTAGAATTGTGTTTAATTACATTGCATTTCATTATGACTCACTACACCTACATGTAAATAATATGAGTCATTAAACGTATTAATATTGTGCTGAATTAATTTTTTTTAATGTAGGTTTTTTATTTTTTGTTTTTTGAGTTTCTTTAATATATTAATGTCATGACATCGAGTATTGGTTTTTATACATCCCGTATTTTGTCTATTTTCTAATATTGATTAAAGGCAAATACGAAAAATACATATTCTATTATGTGACTAAAAAATCAATAATTGATTATAAAATATAAAATAAATATATTTACTTTTTCTAGAGAACATATATATGAGAAAAACCATGATACACCATTTATCAAGACAATTATTATTAATAAAAGCTATATCAAAATCATTTTTAAGTATTTTAATTTTATTGGTTAAAAAAATAGAGATAATTTAATTTTGATCGTTATATTAATTTTTTATTTTTTAATAAAATAAGAAATTATATTATATATTAAAGATAATTTAATTTTGATCGTTATATTAATTTTTTATTTTTTAATAAAATAAGAAATTATATTATATATTAAATAAGTTATATAATTAAATTATGGTGAGGAAATATTAAAAGTTAATTTTGATAAAATAAAAACTATTAATATATAAAATATGGTAGTAACTTTTTTGTTGTATTATATTAATTTATCTATTTTAAATCCTAAATTTTACTTAAATAAAAATAAAAAAATTATATTTGAGGGACGTGTGTTGGTTTTCCCAAAAGGTTTTAGGATTTATTGGAAAAGAATTAAATTGAACGGGCTTTGATGATTTTATATATTAAATAAGTTATATATTAAATATGGTGAGAATATAAAAGTTTAATTTGATAAAATAAAAACTATAATATATTAAATATGGTAAGTTAATTTTTTGTTTGGTTATATTAATTTTCTATTTAAATCTAAATTTTACTAAATAAAAATAAAAAATTTATATTTGAGGACGTGTGTGGTTTTCCCAAAAGTTTTAGATTTTTGGAAAGAATTAAATTGAACGGGCTTGATGATTTTATTCAGTACAAATGATTTTCTTTTATTAAACCCGTTTAATTCTTGAAAAAAAAAATGTTCTTTTACTTGTATAAGAGTTTTATTTTGGAGTTGTCACCCTTATTAAGAAAAATAATCGAATTAGTCGATTCTTTAGAATCGGCTAACTCGGTTTTAAACCAGAGATAGAATATGAGAATTAGGTATGATAATAGGAAGGTATTAGGCACCCATATCGCCCGGTTAGACCAGCCTCCTCATTGTCCAAAGATTCACAATTAATAATAATGCAATTAACTAAAATTGAGATGTAAACACTTTTTATGCAATTTTTGGAGAAAACCATGCCATCCACACAAATTATTACAAGCATGATAAGTATGAAATATAAAGCATCCACAAAAAAAAGGGGAGGAGAAAAGGGTACAACCCTTCCTAAATATATAATCTACTCTCACCCCTCCAAATTTTTCAAACCCAATTAATTATTACAAACAAGCTTCAATGAGATCCACTAAGATCTCTTTACATTTTGCAATAACAAAACACTAAAACACAACAAGAAAGATAAAAGATATAAGCACAAAGTAACCATTAATCACAGAATAATAAAACATACATTACAATCAAAGAATACCCATCACATACACATTCATTCACAAAAATGAAAGCATGATGCATGTTAGAGGTACAAGGTTAAATAAATAAAGGGGTTAACACAATAATAATTATGAAGGCATTAAATTAAAGCATAAAATTAAATGACAGAATAATAAAGTGCTAGTAATGTAAAATACATTAATTAAAAGACAAGAAATTAAATGGTTAATCAAGATTTAAACTCATGGTCTTGATGTTCATCGAGGATGACTCTCAATCTTATTTTATCGTTTATTTGATCTATTTATGACCAAATACGCATCTCAATCCTTTTAAGGTTGGAGCTTGGTCACTTGGATGTCCGAAAAAGGGGCGTTCATTGATTTTTAGTCATTTTGGACCCTTGAAATAAAGGGCCTTGCGCCACAGAGGCTATGGCGTGCGCTACATAGGTGTGGCATGCACCCCACGCAATGGCACGAGGCCCTTCCCAGATAAAGAAGGTTCATATGGAGAACAAGTAAAAAAACAGAGCATATGGGCTCATGTAGCGCGAGCCACAGGCCTATAATGCACACTACACACAGTGGCTTGCGCCATTGACTTAGGCTGTACGCCACAGAGGCATAGAGACCCTTTATTGGTTGATCTTTGGTTTCCCTCTCAATTAGACCCAAAAGAGGTGTTCAAGTACCGAAAAAAGAAAGAAAAAGGTATAAGAATAGGATCAAGGTTCTCGAAATTACCTTTGGAGATTTCTTTGAAAATTTGATCAAAAAAGGATGAAGAGACCCAAAACACTTGGTTCTTGATCCAATAGTCCGAGATTCAAGATTAGAGTATGTACTTTTTAGAACTTTTGATTGATCTAAGGGGGTTTTAGATTAATTGAGCAATAAAATCTCAACTTGGATTCAAAGTTAACACAAGTTTCCTTTATATCTTTAGGTTAAGTTTCAAAAATGCAATAGTCACCCTTCAAAATCCCAAAAGTCCTCCTTTTGGCTCACCCCTAATGCGTATTTATTTGCATTTGAACTGCAACGAGATGACCCACTTTTATTAAAATGGACTGGGTGACACGCAAAATGAGGCGGTGGACCAGAAAGTGTGGCGGGCAGGCCCGACACACTTTCGAGCCCGATTTCGTCGCGAAACATCTGATAACTCAAAAAAGTAAAAATGTTTAAACACATATCAGTTACGGACCATTGGTCCAAAAACCTAAGCGATCGGGAGTCCTGATTTAATTTTATATAAAAAATGGTGTATCATCACTGAAATTTTTTAAGGCAAAATTTGAGCGTCTATAATATTATATATTAAATATGGTAAGAATATAATAATTCAATTTGATAAATAAAAGATTTTTAAAATTAAGAAAAAAATAATAAAAAAATATAAATTAAGTAACGAGTAACCACAATGAATAACTACGTACAACACATATTTTCAAATGCTAGTATTTACAAGGAATAAAAGTCAATTTGGTCCCCAATTTTTTGTAGCGAGATTAAAAAAAAGGTCAGATTTGACCTTTTAGGCCAATTTAACTCTTAAATTTATCTAAAATAATTTTTAAAATTAAAGCCAATTTAATCGCTGAACTTATTTAAAATGATTAAAAAAATCATATTTAACATTTTGAATCGATTTAACCTCTAATTATTCATTGTACTTATAATGTGAAAATCATTATATAGGCATTTATTAAAAATGTAATTGGGGTCAAGCTATCTAATTTATTATAAACTATAGGAAAATGATATATGAAGTATATTGTATTTCTCTTTACTTTAATTGATGGTTTTGAGTTTATAAATATGTATTAATTTGGACATTTTAAAATTAACCTTTATTACTGATTTATTGCTTATGAAATTGATGCATTTTCTATGTTGAATAAATTAAAACTATAATGCATGTTTATAAATTTATTATATGACAAGAAATGTTGGTTTTATGGATTTTAAATTTATATTCATAAGTGTTGGAAAAATTTGATTTGGACGTTTTTAGTGTAGGAGAAAAAGTATAAAAAATGAATCATGTTAAATTAAATCAATTATTAATTTATAAAAATCAAAATAAGTTCAGGGGTTAAATTGATCAAAAAAATAAAATCGGATCTTTTTAATCATTTTATACAAGTTCATGGATTAAATTGACTCAAAAGACCAAATCTAACATTTTTTTAACCTAATAAATAAGTTAAGGAAATAAATTGGGCTTTATTCCTATTTATAAATACAATGGACTAATTACAATTATTGGATCGAATTAAATATTTACATCTCCATCTATGTCAGCATAAATTCAATTAATAAATAGAGTAAAACAAAATCTAATCATATTATAATAATGAACTGGTCCACTTGAATCTTATCCTAAACGTAATGGGTAGGATTTGGGCAATGGCCGATCTAGGGCTTTGTTTTCTTTAAAAGCAGGTTCGGCTAGAGCTAATGGGCTAATGCAGCCCACATACAGCCCTATGGAATGGGGAAGTTCACCGTTCCATCGTCTTTCAAGTTGAGAAAATTGCGCGTTTTATAGTGCTGCAGGCAATCGAATCCTGTCCTAAAATTCATAAAGTCAGGTGTCTTAGAATTCTATCTCAACCTTTGAGATAATTTCCAAGCACCATTCCATTTTAATCATTTACGATTGATCTTATTATTTCACATGATAAATTAAAATAAATTTATCGAGTAAAAAAATTTAATAAAAATATTAAATTATGACATGAGATTCCAACTACAGTAGTGATCAATGAACGAACTGACCAACGATGCCAATTCATTTGGTAAATGCATTTTTCACCTGTATTTTTAAAAGAATGAAATAGTGTAATAATATAAATAAAATCGAAACATAATAAGTAAAAAGACTCATAAAATTGATAATGTCGAAGCACCATTTCACTCACTAAAATAACTACAATGATTCAGAATACAAAAGAATTTACAATCATGTAATATATAATAAGCAATTCAACTCCGGTCGAGCAAAACTAGACAAGTTTCCCTAGTCATACACCAAGGTTTCAGAATAGGCGGAGTTTTGTTATTCAGTCACAGAATTCCAATACTTTTTCTCTTTCCTAAGTTAGTTAAACTAATTTAGCTATGGCTGGTTTTGGTTCTCCAAACTATATTCTTTTTACACTGTCGCCATGGGTAACTACAAATCCCTCACTTGATAGAGTTGCAACTGCATTTCTCAGCTGAACAGAAAAGCAAAAATGGAAATGTTTGAATGTATGTTTGAATGCTAAACAAAAATGTTTATGTAAGAGAGATTATAATCTTACATCTTGAAGGTGAACTTCGTTGCCAGAGCTCTGCTTCTTCAACTCTTCCAGTAACTACAGGATTAATCAAGAGCAAGTGTCAATTGTGACTAAAATTAACTACCATTTGTTTTACATCCATTAAGGCCTTGTTTGTTTGGTATAACTAAATTTTAATAATTTATAACTGAATTTTATACTTCAATTGGTTTACCTCCAACAGGCGCATTGAAGGTCCCCCAAGTTGCAACTTCTCCATAATTATATTCCGAGTTGCTGATACAAGATTCTCTCTTCTCATCCTTTCGCTTGCTGAAACTCCAGTTGTGATGAGATCCATGTCAATAGTTCCTTTAGAAGGAAGAAGGGAAAAGGCACCATTAGAATACTGTTTGTCCAGCCCCGGAAATAAAATTTAGAAATTACGGGAGATTATTGTTGGAGGATTACCAGTGGAGTGATCTGTTGCTGACTGTTGCATTGCAACTTCAAGAAGTCGAAATGCCTCGATCACATCATGCTTCTCAACCTTGGAGCACCACAGAACAAAGGAAGCTCAAAGTTCTGAAATGTATTCCTCAAGAAAGCATTTTAAGACAAAACAGTTACTATACTAACCAATTCCGAGAGACGAATCCGAGCTAGAGCTTCACTAAGGCGTATCAAACTTTCTATCTGCCTAGGTGTTGCAGTTATAACCTATATGATACAGGAGATATATCAAATTCAATATCTTCGAAAAAAAGACTAGGATGAAAATTTGGCCAATTAAAATTTTAAATTTCTGAATATAAACATCGAAAGAATAAGATAAAACCAGGTTCAAGTAAAAAGTTCACACAATCACAACAGAATTTAAATGTACAAAAAAATATGATAACAAAATCATTAATATGCTAAATAAACAAATATAACCAGCAAAGGAGGAAGAATAGCCTTCTTTGGGCACGTGCGTCGTAGACCAACAAATGCAATGGATATAGAAGGTTGAATAAAGAAATTGTTGGAAAAATATTGAAAATAGGTCCAGTGGCTTGGATCTTTCAAAAATTAGACCAGGTCGGGTGAGATGAAGGGAGGATCCATATAGTCAACCCAACTAGTTTGGAATAAAGGTTTAATCCAGTTGAGTCGAAGACTGGGTCTAATACTGGGAACGCACAGGTTCTTGAACATGTTGCTAAAGGGTACAAGAAGATTATATTAACTGGTTCTATCAAACAAAATATGCATGAGAATGAGACAGAAAGACAAGTATAGACTAAAGAAACACCTTTTTGCTACTACCCGGGAAATTTCCTCTCCTCCTCATCTCAACATATCCTCGAGTTAACTCTTCTGAAGCTTCATCCGACAAACGTGGATGAATACGCTTACGAGCATAACTTATATATGTGGTTAATGTAGCGATATCGAGAACATCCTGCTGTGCTGTCTGTGAGACAAATTTTTAAAAGGAATCAGGATATTGAACTTAAAATAGGGTCTTCAACAAGTTTGCTACAATTCACCCAACCTCAGGATTCTCAAAGTGTAGTGCTACAATATGCTTGGCAAGGTGCCTGTCTGTTTGTTCATCAGCCTTGTCAAGAATCAAGTATATCAGGTCAAATCTGAGAAAACATCCACAGGCAAATTCATTATTTTAGCAATAATAGCCACTGAAATAATTTGTGGCTGAAATTAAAGGAATCAATTGTAATTGGTCTAGTATTTAATTCTGCCACATTATATTCATATCAGAAGCATTTAAGCAAGGCCTAAATCATTTAGTAGTTCAGGTAACTGTTTACTGCAATTACTTCCCAATTGCATTGCATACATATTGTATCCCTTACCTGGACAACAAGGTAGGTGGAAGATGTATGTTATCGATCACAGACAACCGAGGATTATAGCGTGAGCCAATAGGATTTGCACATGCTAAAACTGATGTTCTAGCATTAAGCGAAGCAATAATTCCAGCCTTTGCTATGGAAACAGTTTGCTGTTCCATCACCTGGAAAAGTTCAAATGAAATTAAACATGCCCATGATAGGAAATCAGACACTTGAAAGTGAAACAGGTAAAACATTCACAAAAGTGACACATCAGTGATGCTTATCACACTACTCAATAAATTATACTAGCTCAGGTCTTCTACAGGAAAACAGGAAATCCCCCTTTGGAAAGTATTTTTTCTGAAGTTGTCAAAGGGTGACAAATATAGTCTCAAACATGCATGATATGACTAGCAAAAAGATATGCCCGCCCTGAGGTTCTCAACTCCAACATTTGTGCAGACAACAAAATTTGCCAGTCAATGGAGAATCATTGCAGTGCATAAATAAAAGATATCCATCCCGTAAAATCCTTTGAAAGGAAAATATGACCAACCTCATGCAACATGCTCCTTGCATTTTCAGACATTTTGTCAAATTCATCAATACAGCAGATCCCTCTGTCACTCAGAACAAGTGCTCCACTCTCCAGGACCTAAAAGATTACATCACAAATATCCAACTATCAGAATCTTACATGCAAGAGTCAATTGAATGTGGGAAACATAAGAATCATAATAGAGGGTTGAACCGTTTCTCCTGTCTCAGGGTCTTTGCTAACATAAGCAGTCAAGCCAACAGCAGAGCTCCCTCTTCCACTAGTATAGATGCCACGGGGAGATAATTTGTGTATGTATTGCAGCAGCTGGGACTTGCTGGTTCCTGGATCACCAACAAGAAGTATATTGATATCACCACGGAAGCTAGCACCAGATGGCAACTTCAGGGCATTCCCGCCAAAGAGCTACATTCGGCCAATTGACTAACAATCATTACCCAAACCGTAATTAAAGAATAATGAATTTTACAAAAGTCATCTGACGTGAGGATGAATTACATCTAATTGTGCAAATACCTGGCACAAAAGACCTCTCTTCACATCATCCAGCTCCCAAATATTTGGTGCCAAAGACTTGGTTAGTCTGTCATATATATCAGGCTGCTTTGACAGTTCTTTCAATTGTTGTATCTGCAATTCAAACAAGAATGTGATCATAGAAGACAATCTTTCAATTGTTGTATCTGCAATTCAAACCAGAATGTGATCATAGAAGACAAAATGAACAAAACTTCTTTCTACAAGATAAGAAACATATGCATACTTTGGCATCATCAAACTGGATATCTTCCTCCACTTGACGTGAGCCATTATCAACTTCCATAGGATCCTCTGCTAGCATTCTTGACTTGTCAGCTTTCTTTATATGAAGACAATCAATGTAAGTCTGCAGTCAAAAGGAAATTATTACAATATCATCCCTCGAAAATAATGCAACACATGCCTAAAGAGACTTAACTGATATAATAGCAAAAAAGTTGAATCATACCTTGAATAATGATTTTACAGTTCTCTGAGTGGGCCCAACTCTCACACTCATAGCTCTATAAATCCCAGTGACCTATTGAGAAAACAGGAATGCATTAGACAACATTAATATTTATGTGATTCACTCTCATTATGACTATGTCCACAAGCATGTCATCTTTGCTATAATTAATAACACAATTACATCATCAAGCTCAAAACATTCACAAATCCACAAACTCAATTATACGTAAGGTACCTCATATACACAAATGCATGATACGTACTTGTCCTTTGAACATAATTAAACTATCTATTACTCTTAACATCAACCACAGTATGTGTAAATGCCACTACAATTATGGACAACAGACCCTCACTATTAATATTCTATATCACCGTGTTATAACTAGCAAAGCAACCATAATTATGGGAGAGAACATCTCCTTGTTAAGCCCTTCACTCCTACACTCCATTTGGCAAGCCATTTATCAATGGGAAAAGCCAAATAATCTCTTCTATGATGCTCCTATTTATAGATTAGCCTTTTCTTTTTTCAGTTCTACTTTAATTTTGATTCACATCCAATAAAGAATAGCCTTTAAAATTTAAAAAAATATATATATATATTAGACCACAAGAGATAATTGTAGATCACATAGAAAGTATCTTTAGGATCACATATCTAGTACAAACATCAAAACTTGTTTTTCCAAATGCCATATGAATCTTAATTCGAATCCTAATAATTAGTAGGATAGACAGAAGTTTCAGGCGTCCACCACATAATCCATCCAAGTCTCACCTCAACTCTGTCACCAGGCTTTACAGCATCCACCAGCTTGTCATGCATCAACAAGCTCACTGTGTGTGGTGTTCCTCCTTCAGGGATCTCATCAGGCGTCTCCTGGAGCCTCACAATCTGCTTATCAGCAAACCTGATTTAATTAAAAAGCACTAGTTAATAATACTGAGAAAAATCAAAATTCTCAATTCCAAAGTCGACCAGTGGATTTTTTTAAGCGTACAATTGATCTTATAACATCAATAAATATTTATGATCTTTTTGTGCTCCTTTCAGATGATGATGCTCATGACCTTATTTATCCTGTAGAATTTTGGTTGGGATCTTTCCATCTATCGATCTGAGTTACGTCTTTAAGGTAGAAATGTCAAATATGCTCAATGTAGTCAATGTTGCAAGTTGCATAAGATTTAGAAATTGCGTCTTGGTTTGACTGTTGCTGCTTATATATTATTTCCTTACAGATGTTGATTCATCATTGATGATTGAACATTAAAGTTATATGTCGATGATAAACAAAAACAAAATTGATCATACAAGAACATGTTACATTGGCTATAAGGACACAATCAAATAGCATTTTTGAGAAGTGTTGGAGCAATGACATAATAGAGAAGCAGGTCTGGAGAAGATCTTTGTGCTAATTTATTTATATTGTTTTACCACGAACAAGCTGCAGCAATATGGCTGCTTCGTGCTTTAAAAGCTCAACTATGTAAAGGAATTATATAACCACAAAGCTTCTTCCATAAAAATGTTCAGAAATGCACCAATTAGAGCACACACAGTAGAGTAAATATTTGAGCATTGTATATTCCACTATGATTTTTAAGTCCCCAAAATGAAACAAGATTCAGATTATTAGCTTATCAAAATCAAGATAACACAGTTTTACCTGCAACGGTTATGGACCAGTGTCATAGAGTTCTTAGCAAGACATTCTTGCTTCAAGCATACAGTAGGTTCATTTATCCTTCCTGACAATAACAATAATCAACAACAAGTATGCAATCAAATTAGAAAACAGGTAATGGAATTAAGCAAACTAACAATTAACAGAACTTACCTCTTTCTACAAGAAATGGACCAGCAACGTTCCCACACACAAGGCATCTAAATATTGCTTCCCTAATCTCCGGTATGATAGAACTACAACGAATTATCATTCCCTTGAGCGACACCATCTTCTCGATATCTAATCAAATAGCATCCACAATCAATCAAATTCTTCATTTACAGGAAATACACAATATGAAAATTAAATTTAAAAAAAAAAAAAAAAAAAAAAAAAAAGACAATAACAATTAATCAACAAACAAGTATGCAATCAAATTAAGAAAACAGGGTAATGGAATGTAACGCGAATACTAACAATTAACAGAACTTACCTCTTTCTTAACAGAAATGGACCAGCACGTCCCAACAGCACAAGGCATCTAAATATTGCTTCCCTAATCTCACGGTATGAATAGAACTAACAACGAAATTATCATTCCCTTTGAGCGACAACCATCTTCTCGATATCTAATCAAATTAGCATCCCACAATCAATCAAATTCTTCATTACAGGGAAATACACAATATGAAAAATAAATTTAAAAAAAAAAAAAAAAAAAAAAAAAAAAAAAAAAAAAAAAAAAAACATAATAAAAAAAAAAAAAAAAAAAAAAAAAAACATAATAGTTATCTGAAAAGCAACAAGAGGAGGTAGCTAAAAGCATGAAACCCATCAATATTCAAGAGCATAAACCTACTGAAAATTGGTAATGCCAACAATTCGTGATTTGGTCGTAAAACTTCACTGGCCCAATATATTTCCCAGATTTCAGTCCGAATTTTGAAATATCTCATATCCTAATAAAAGCAATCCTTATGATAAATAAAAATTGGGTTAAAAGAGAGGAAAAGAAACTACCAGAAGGGTTAAGATTTCTCATTGTGGTAGAAGTCTTGAGATTATAAATCCTCACTTGCACATGCTTCTCGAAAAGAGGATCCATTAAACCCACAAAATCCATCAAAACAATATCAAAAATGGCCAAAACCTCGAGTGGGTACCTAACCATCTTCGCGTATAAATCAGAATCATAATCAAACACATCATGTGCATCAACATCAAGCCCTTCCCCTTCAACTTCAAGCACTTTACGTATAGCTTTCACATACTTCCCTTCTTCGAAGATCTCATTGCTTAGACTTTGACTGTTATCCCTATAGTGCTTCAAAAACATCTGGAACCTTTCCTTAACATCCTCAACACTGATATTGGTGCCCCAAACGAATGTAGGTGTGGCTTCGTCCATGTAATCGCCGCCTTCTGAAGATGGCGGGCCCTCAGACGTGGAGGACGGCGTTGAAGCGGCAGCTTGGCGTGCATTGGATCTGCTCCGGTGAGTAGTCGGTGTAGATTCTGACGTGGCGAAGCGGGATTGGGGAGGAGGTGGAGTGGCGAAGGCTGAAGGTGTAGTGGATCTACCCCTACGTCTGTTCCGGCGAGAGGTATCTGCGGCAGGAGAGGAGAAGGTGTTGCCAATGGGACTGGAAAATGAGTCATCCGGTGAAGAAGGCCCTGTTTGTAGTCAAATACAAAAGTTTAAAAACATATAGAAACAACACAATTCACACACAGAGAGAAAGAAAGTTACCGTCATTGAAAGGGGCTGGAGAGGAATCGGACGCCATGGAATCAGAGCTAAGACCCGGCAGCGTAGAAGTTGGTGAGATTAGAGAGTGGAGGGAAAATTTTGGGGTTTTTTGGCTTTTGCACAAGGTAATGTGGCGGGAAATGGTACGGCTTTCGCGCCAGAATTCTTAATGGGCTTCAGCAAAAGCACATTTGGTAAAATTGGGCTTGGGTTACAGGGTGTTTTCCTATGATCCCTTAGAAGATGTAATTATTAGGCTTACTAGCAAAAATATTTAAATATTTGCACCTTTTATAAATTTTTTTCCAAATCTTTTAATTTTATTTCGTATTACTTTTCTTTGAGAAAATTGTTTTTTCCTATTTCTATAACCCAAAAATATTAGAAAACTTATTTATAATATACAACTAATGTTTAAGTAATCCCTTAAAAAAGCTAATATTTAAGTAATAAAGATATGAAATATATATTAATAAAAATAGCTTTAATAAGTAATTTTGTTAGGTTAATCGTTTTATTTTTTTTATTGCACTCTTGTTATTCTTATTTATTATTTTAGAAGATATTTGATTAAGCTGATTCACACAATTAATAGTTGATTTATATTTAATAGGGTTATAAGTGTTTGATAAGTTTTTTTAATCAGCCGTTAATTTTGTTATTTATACTTTGGAGTTTTTTCGTAAATGTATTAGTTGATTTATATTTATATTTTATTTTTATTTCATTAACCTCGTAAAAATAATTACTAATAGTTTTTTTAAATTAATATTTTTTGATAATTTTATTTATAATTATTTAAAAATAATATTTTTTTATTAAATAATTATTAATAAATATTTTTATAAAAAATAATATATTCACCACACATACGCAATGCCAGTAGCATAATTCAAATGTTGGTTTGAATGACTTATATTTCATTCTTAGTATGTTGTTTATTAACTTTTATTTAGAATTCATTAGTTTTAATGGCTTGTATTTCTTTTAAGTTTTAGAATTAGTTATAAATTTTATCAAATTTGATAGAACTTGATAGAGTATAATCAAACTCTATAAATCAAATTAGAAAAATAAAAATTTCAAATAATTTTCATTTATATCAGATGTGAAAATTTGAATTTATAAAAAAATTTCAAGATTAATTTATTGAGAGCTTAATACGCACCTTTGTAATAAAAAAAAATGAATTCATATAATTTTACGAAGTTGATTTGTTCCATAATTCCATTCTGCGTATGCGCATATGTATATATACATGTAGAGAGAGACCAATATTAGATTATATGTTTCACACTATGCTTAGAACAAGTGAATTATAAATGAGAAATTTATTTTATGCATGGTATATCATAATTTAAAATAAGAAATTTAATTGAATTTTACAAACTTATATTTGAAATAAATTCTTAAACAAAAATACATTTGTCTTTATTTCTTATAATACCTTTAACAAAATAATTTAACAAAAATAAATAACAAACACAAATTATATTTATTATATACAATATAATAGATTGTCATATTTTAAAATATAAATAATGAATTCATATAAACAAATACACTAATATTCCATGCTAATTAATTTATAAATTAAAAAATATATATTAAGAATGTTATTACTGATTTTATTGCATTTGAAAATAATTATTGATACTCTATTTTTATAGTTTCATAGTAATAAGTAACAACTAACCTTATTATTAGATTTAAAAAAAAACTAATGTTATTACTAGTTTAGCATTTTCCAAAAAAAAAAAAAAAGGAAAAAAATTAAAAATATAAACCTAGGGATTATTAGATTTAAAAAAAATAACTTTTATTGCTAATTTGGAATTAAAAAAAAGGGAAAAAAAAGTAAAAATATAAAACTTAGTTATTACTTAGATTAAAAAAATGTTATTACTATATTGGAATTTTCCAAAAAAAAGGAAAAAGAAGTAAAAATATAAATTTAGTTATTACTAGATTTTAAAGGAAATAACTGTTAATTCAAAAAAAAAAAAGTTATTACCAGTTTGGTATTTTTCAAAGAAAATAAACAAAAAGGAAAAAAAAGTAAAAATAGTTGAGTTTATAGCGGAGGGTAATTTTGTTAATAAACATTTCAGTGGTCAATTTTATAAAATTCATTTACAAATTTCATTGGAATAGTATTTGAGTCAATAATACCCAATTCCATAAAATTCAATTTATAAAATTTAAACCTGTATTTTTTTCATTCCAAACACAAAATTTTATAGAATTCATTTGTTTCAAACGGGCACTTAAAGACGTTGAGTGAAAATTTGTATCAACTTACGGCATGTTGGACAATGGTAGCCATTTCAGTAATTGTTAATATCCGTTAGTTAAATGCTAGATCAACATCTAAATACTAGTATGAATAATATGAATATTATGCTATTAAACAATATAAATAATAAAAATAGTATTTTTTTTTACTATTTAAAAAAGTAACAAAGATAGTATTTTAATGTCTAATCAAAACATAAAAATGTTATACAACCTAAATAAATTCAGCAAAAACATATAAGAACTAGAAGTAGCTGCTCATAATTGATATTGTTATATATATATATATATAACTCATCACTATTGAAAAATCTCATATAATATAAAATTAATACACATAAAGCTAATCAACCGAAGAAAAACACATATCCCGAGGTGAGATAGGATAGTAGGTATCTCTTCTCCTAAAACTAGAAGTTTCAAATTTAAGTTCTGGGTATAAAGTTCTTTTAAACACTCAAAATGGATTGCTTTAAACACCGGATGGTTAAAACGAAATGAAGAAGACATCAAGTGCTAATTTTTTTTTACATTAATTAACTATAATTCTCTTTAAAAAAATTGCACTACATTGCAGCTAAAGCATTAAAAGAATACTTTTTATTATTAACAACAATACTCTTCAAATGATCATTAATCTAAACCTTAACAAGTAATTATAAGGGCATAAATTAGGTAATGCATGCTTTAATTAATTAATTCACATACTTTTGAGCTTTTCGATACTTCTCTGCAATAGCCAATCAGTGTGGTTTCTAGTCAAAATTAATAATTACAAGTTAAACATAATTAATGGTGAAAAGCAAAGAAAAGTGGAGGGAATTGAATTCATATACATAATCTTCAGTACTGTTATTATTATTACTATTATATATAAAGTTTTAATAATACATTTGAAAATGATTATAAACTTAATTAACAAATAAAAAGTTGTCAATCACTTTTTGTTAACATTTTGTTTTCTCTTCCATTGAAATTGCAGGATATCTTCCATAAGAAGTGTCATTTCTTTACTGCCAATAGAAAAGAACTTTTCTTATAACTATATTAGGAAAGTCACCAAAGACTTATTCTTGGTGAGCATCCACTATATATTTGTTACTTCAAATCATTGTTTTTTCTTTAAAAGGTTGATTCCAAATGCATCTTACACTATATATACACACACAAGTGGGTTAATATGCCATTGAGGAGGGTATCAATCTTTTCCCGTATATGGGTATGTTTGAGTTTGCTAAATGCTGCATATTTAGCATAAACAATTGTAGGCAGAGGCTTAAGTAGTAGTGCTTTTGTAACTAACGAATGTCATTAAAGCCAAAAAAATCTCACAAGATGCCCACCTATTTACTTTTCTGTGTTTAAAATATCTAACCTAAGAGGGTTTTAGCTTCTGCTAGCTTTATTATTATATAGCTAGGGGTGATTCTCCAAACTTTTACATGTATGTCTACAGTAGCCGACCTTAAAATGTTTGAAACAAACAAATAAAAAAACATAATATGAGTTAACAGTTTTAGTTTCCTATCTCCTGTAGAAGATGTAAAGAGTGAAAGGTCTCCGATTCAATTCCTTCTCCACCATAAAAGTTATCACCAATTTGGTGAATGTTATTCAAAGAGGAGGGCTGCCTCATGTGTATTTTGATCCATTGGACATCCCATGTATAAAAAAAAAAAAAAAACTCAAGACAGTCTCTACTTTAAATTACAAGAAATAAACAACATTAGGCTCATTAGTTTATAGAATTAGTCAGAATATTATATCGTTTATGCTAAAGGTATAAAAAAAAAAAAAAAACCACTGTCAAGACAGTCATCTACTTTAAATCTACAAGAAATAAACACCATTAGCTCATTAGTTATAAGAATTAGTCAAGAATATATATGCGTTTATGCTAAAGTGCATGAATATTTTTTTTTCTTATTGGCAAATAACTTTATTTTTTTTATAAATTACAAGGAAAAACTTATCAAATCTCAGCACTAAAACAATGCCAATAAGCCCCAATATACTCAAACCTAACTAGAGAATTATAAGTTAAAAATCCCTGACCTAGCCAATATGAATAGTATCTTCTAATCACAAATAAAATAAAAAATATATCAGAGTGCAAAGGCAAAATAAAAATTCAAGAGTATAAGAGGACAAATTAAAAGTTTAGGATATAATACCATTTCTCTAGTTAGTCCAGAGATGTATTTATATATTCATCCTAATAGAAAGATGCACTAAATAATGAACTAGCTCTATTATTATTTAGGTCTGATGCCTATGAATTGGTGAAACAACAATTGATTAATAATAACCATATGTAGATTAAGTTTATCTTTAAATCTTGGAAGCTAGCTAGCTAGTTTGTCCATAATATGAACAAAAGGCAGACATATACATAATCTGCTGGTCTGAAGCCGGCAAAGAAACAGATAAAAGAAAAACAATGAACTTCGGAGTTCATATACAACAATTCAGGGATGACAAACATACATTAAACCTGAACCTAAAAGAGATTAATGAATAATTAAAAAACATATATAAATCAACTCATAAATATATATAAATCAACAAGAAGAGACAAACTGAAAATCCTATCCATAAGATTAGCATGCGTACAATATAATTAATTATATAATCAAATTACATCAAACAAAGCCAATGTCGAATACAATTAATATCATTTAATTGAGTTAGAATATTAAATTAAATTATACATAGAGAGAAAGCAAAACAATTATTGAACATTAATTATATATAATCGTTCTTCCCTTATTCATCATTTCCATTCCCATGGCCACCGATAATATAAATATATAGCAACAATGGTGATGAACTGGAAATGGGTTTTTCCCTTTTTTTATTTATTTATTTTACATTTGCTTCTTTTATTTTCCCTGCTAATTCAGAAATAAAATAAAACCCATCGTCAAGCCCTAATTAATTAGATTTTTGGATGCAGGAAAAGTTGCGTACCGGACGTGAAAGCATTAAGGGGAAATGGGTATGATGATGAATGCTCTGCACCAACTGAAGAACTGAGAATGGAAGCTGCTGTTGTTGTTGCTGTTGTTATTGCTGTTGTTAGTGCAGTAGAAGTGCTAATTAGGGCACCGGAACTTGTTAAATTATTATTATTATTATTAGTGTCTTGCAGTAACTGAGTAGAGAAGCTTTCTTGATGAGGACCTTGATCATAAAGGATACCCTGAAACACATGGCCGCCAATTCCCACACTTGTTTGATAAGCTAATTGATAATCTCCTTCTTCATCAATGGAGCTCATTCTAAAGCAACGAAATGTAGCTATAGAGTTCACTTCAGCTGGAAAATTCCCAACTTCTAATCCTGTAATTTGAAAAAAAGAGATAAAAAAAATGGGTCAAGATTATACAAATTTATTAACATTATATATATATATATATATATATCTCAAACCCTATCCGTAGACAAATGATATTCACAAAATATTGTAAAATTCATTTGATATTTGATATTTTTATATTTGACATAAATGAAAACATATTTCAATTTTGCAAATTGAATTTTATAACAACGAAATGTAGCTTTATATATTACATATAGAGAGGTTTCACTTGAACAGGAAAATTCCCAACTTTTAAACCTAAAAATAGATCAAGATTCAAAATTTTTAACACAGCCATGTCAAATACTATGTATACAACTCTATCTGCAGCATAAACAATTTTCATAAAATTATATAAAATTCATTTGAAATTCCAAAATTAATTTTATTTTTAAAAATTAAATTTTATAAAATTCAAATTATCCGAACCAAAATTTACCATTCATAATTAATTTAGATGGTAAAAATTGATTAAATCTTAAAAAGAAGAAAGAAAAATAAGCAAAAGATTCTTTTAACAGTATTTTCCTGGCAGCTAGGGTTACTATGATTAAAATTGCTGTATGATAATACTGATATCAAGAAAAAGATATGGATCTACCTGTTAAAGGGCTTAGTCTGAGTCTTTTAGGGTTACTATTAGTGCGTGGCTGTTGATGAGGATTCTGTTGTTGAACAGCAATATTCGAAGGTCTAAGGCGCCTTCTGTAAGCAGGAATCCAGGTGCTTTTGACGTGTGTTTGGCACTCAAACCCTTTGCTTTTACAACAAGTTCTACATCTCATATGTACACACTCTTTCTTTGCTTGGTTTCCACAATCTTGACATCTTGATCCACCTAATAGTCCTCCTTGTCTCATCATTATTACGTATACTCTTCATCATTTATCAAACCACCATGCTGGTGGTGCCGGTGGCAGCGCAGTGGGTGTAGTGGTGGTGATATATGGCCTCCTTTATTACTGAGTAGTCATTCAGTGGCCTTGACCGATGATCTATAATCTGGGTTGTTTCTCTCTAGACGAGGAAAGCTGGGTCGATATTTGATAATTACATATTAAGTTTGTTTTTTTCCAAAAAAAAAAAAAAAGAAAATATTTCTTCTTTTGGTAAAAATATAAACGAAAAATAAATCCAGGAAGATTTGATGAGAATGAGAAACTACAAGTTAGCCGCCATAGAAGTAGAAAGATGAGGAGCTCAAATTATTGAAGTGCAGCTTATGGACAGTGATGACTGATGAGTCTGAGTTTTCAGAAGGACAGCATAAAAAAAAAAAGGAGCAAAGAGAAGTGGGAACTAAAAGAAGTTTATAATAATACAATTACTAAACAAATAAATGATAAAGAATTAAGAATACATATATACGTGTTGTGACTATTCTTGGCCAAGAATGTGTTTTTCATTACTGCTTTTGTTCTTCAGAAGAAATAAACACTTATCCTAAAATATTGATTAAACCTCTTGATTTGGAGACTTAAATATAGAGTTTACTAAGGAGGAAACGCTTCTCCTTTTATGGGTGTGGTGTGAATCTAAATTAGTCGGTCCGTATATTTTGAACACGGATGATTTTACACTAAAAATATTTATCTTCACGTGAGTTATATATGTTTATTTATTATGTTAAGAAATCTTTGAATTTATGCTTTTCTGTTCTCCAAAGCATTTGTTAGTTTATTACGCTTAGGGAGCCTAGTCGGAAAAATTGAAGTTTCATAACAACCGTAAAATACTTCAGATTTTTATTTTTAATATTTTTGGAAAGTGTTTTTTTCAAACAAATAGTTTCAATCACGATACCAAATAGATTATAATCCAAGTGGGTTTGGATTTATAGGTTGCTTTACTATGATTTTGTGTTTATTTTAAGAAAATATTTATAATAAATTTTTAATTTATATCCATATAGACAATAAAACATTTTTTGTATGGAAGAAGCTTTACCAATAGGCATAACTCCATCAGCTGTAGTCCCTTGACACTTCAATCCTTTTAGGGCTTGAACATGGACTCCCAAATTCAACTTTTTTGAATAAAGATTAATGAAACTCTCGTACGGTGTTAAGTCTATTCGCCTGCACACATATGTGCTCATATCTTCCGGCAAGTGTGCCTTCGGAATCAAAATATTTTCCACCGTTTTATGAGAGTTGGAGTTATTTATCGCCCCGATGAATATTTCGGTGAAAATTATAATATTTAATAACATAAAATCATTAAAATGAAAAATAATAGTATCCCATGATGTGAAAACTCGACATTTTTTATTTTTATACATCATAATCAAAATGAATTACCTTCACAGGTGGTTTTCCATTTTATATATCGTAACTTTTCCTGCTCCATCTAAGTGTTTTTGTTTTTTGTTTTTTTTTTTTTATTATTTTATTTTATTTATTCATTGCTTCATCTATCTAAGGTTTATTTGAGCATGCATAAGGTTTCCGATGGAACTGCATCTTTTCTTTTCTTTTTTTTTTATTTATAGAAAACAAAATGGATCACAATAAATATCACAGGTTACATAATATATATGGGATAATTTCTTTCTATAATATTTCCAATTAAAATAGTAATTATAACTGAATTCATATTTTCATATTTGATATGATAATGTAAAGCATGTAATTCAACTGAATTCCACATAATCATGTATGAAATAAATTTATAATTGAAAATTCATTTGCTTCTGTTTTCTAAAATATTTTGAAATAGGAAATGAATAATAAATATCAATTATATTTATATTATGCTATATAATTTTTTATAATTTTATTAAAATAAACATGTATAATAAAAATAATATTAATAAAATTATTGTATTTAATTTAGTGATAAATATATATATTTAACTTGAATCTCACTCAATAATAAAAAAGTACTAAAAAATATTAAAATAAAAATACAATAATAAGAAAATGTTTTCTAAAAAACAAAATTTTTAAATAGTTTTGGTTAAGTTTGACAAAATAAATGAGGTAAATAAGTGAAAATTGATATATTAACTTTGTAGAAGGGAATGGTAATTTTGTCATAAAAAATTGGATTGCTTAATTTTGTGTAATTCGTTTATAAATTCCACCTATTTTTATGGAATTTGATGTAATTATGTTCAATTTCATACAATTGAAATCTACATTTTTCTCATTCCAAACATAAAAATATAGATTTTTAAATGAATTCTACAAAATGTTGTGGAATTCATTTGTCCAAACAATGGGTGAAGAAAATAGTGAAATATCAAATGGGGATTGGTCTAAATAGAAAAGGCCTATGTCCCTTAAACAATAACGTCGAATGTTTAATCACTGTGAATAAAAAATATTTCTGGTGAAAGTATTTCTCTCTTATGGCCTGACACGGGCTTAATCCAATAGGCTAAGAACACCTATGATATAAATGAAAAAAAAAAAAAAAAGAAAAGGAAAAGGTATCTATCGAACTAAGGAAGCATTTATTCATATGTTTATGCTAAATGTTGATTCCATCAATTGGATTCTAAATATGTTTTCTATCGACTAGTAATTAATTTATATTTATATTATAATCGATCTATATTAATCATATAAAAATAATTACTTGTAAAATTAGATAACTTTTAGCTTTTTCCTTTCTTACCTACAATCAATCACATTATTGATAATTTTTGTACAACTACTGATCGTGGTGGGTTTTCAATTTCTTGAGGGAAATCACCTACATAGCATTATAGCCTACATGTATATATGCTTTTGTGATGGCCCACTCCACTCAATTTGGCACTTTCTCAATGGAATTGTACGGATACATTTGTCTTTTAGTGTTTTGGACTGCTATATGTGTTTATATCTGATAATATATTTTTTATCATTTAAAGATTAAAACAGTAACTGGGATTCGATGATTCAAATGAATATATATTAGAAATTAAATATTATTATAAAAAAAAAAAAAAAAGGATCTTCATGCACATCAGAGTGACTGCGAGAATAAGTCTGTGACTTTTCACACTGTTTTAGAAATATATATATATATTTCTAATTGAAAATATATTTTTTTTACTGAATTTTTTTTCCATGTCACTGGGTGTTCTTAATGTGGATGGAACTAATTTCCACTCTGAAATCCCGCAAATCACGATGAAAACAACTTCGCTTTCCACGATCGTTGTTAACTTGTGGGTAAAGTTTGCTTTTATATATATATTGTTGTCATTAATTTAAATCCCAAAAATCAAATAATGAGAAAGTATTTTTTTTTTCTAAAAAATGGAAAATACAGTCTATGTTTCTATAATCTCTTAATCTTAGTGTGTATAATTTACATTTGATCGACTTGAGGAGATAATTAATAACATTGTATTTTAATTAAGAATTATTGGTTCAAAGTAATACAGCAATATTCCAAACCAAACCTAACTATAAAAACTTCATTTTACTTTTTTCCACCTCGGCTTGGTTCGATTCTGAACCGAACAGATCATTTACTCGCTTTAGTTACGATTATGTATATTTCCATTATAATTATAATAAGATTTGATTATCTTGGTGAAAATAAATATCTAGTTAGTTTATTTTCAAAAAAAAAAAAAATCAAATTTTGGTTTGGTTATTAAATTCTTAAAATTATATTTTATACCAATTATCAAATGTGATATAATTTTATTCTTTCATTTTTTTATAAGAATGTAAAGTATATGAGGTATTATATTAAGTTTTCTCGATCACAGTAGTTTTTATTAATTTTATTTGGAGTTATGGAAAAAAAATGTTAATACCCTTTGTTATATTAGTCTATCTCATTCTGTTTCCAACATAAACATAAAATAGCAATTAAAATATTTATTTCTAGTAAATAATATTTATTAGTTTCTAATAATAATATTTTTAACTAATACTATAAAGCTCACATTGAAAACAAAGCATGTTCTATCTTTTTGAATTTTCTTGTCCAATTCTCATTGTTGCTTGTATTAAAACTTAACCTATCATCAATAAGCAAAGACAATAACAAGAGTAGATTTATATTTTTAAGCGAACTTTATTTATAAAATTTGTGATTCAAAGTACATAAAAAAAATCACAGACTTACGTTTTTTGAGACGGTGTTCGGCAACAGCTTCTGAAGTAGCTTTTAAACTAGTTTTTAGAGATTAATGTAGTATTTTATAAAAGTTTAACTCATGTAACGTTTAATTTTAGCGTTTTATAAAAAACTACTCCAATAATTAACATTATTAAAACAGTTACCAATTATTAAAACAATTAATTTTATCGAACAAATGCTAAACATGCTTTTGACTTCAAGAGTAGTTGTGAGTAGTTAAACTTGCCATTTACAAGCAATGCTACCTTTTTTTTAACCTTGAGGTAAATGTTTAAGTCTTGTTTCTTTACTATTTACATCAACTTTAGTCAAAATGTTGTGAAAGCCAAAGTGAAGCACATGCTTTGCACTTTCGGTTTAACAAGACCTTGTGTTTTCCTTCCTTTTCTGCTTTTCTTCTTCTTATTATTTCTTCTTTATTATTTTTCTCTTTCTCTCTTTTCCCTCTTTTATTTTTCTTCCCTTATTTATTTATTTATAACCATTATTATTACATGAGAAAGAGAGTAAACTTGAACTTTAATCTTTGCCCAATAGTATACACATTTATTACTTCAAAGGGAGCAAACGTTTCATGCTTTACTCTCTCAAACACTAAAAATTATTATAAATACTCTGTCCTTTAAGTAAGTAATAAGCATAGTGCAGACTATTTGATGTCACGAATTTCAAGCCGTGTTCGGAGGAAGGAAAGGTACTTACTTCCTAGACCAGGCAAAGGCCTAGAAATAAAGTCTTAACCTTTCATGCTTTTTCCAATAGTATTCAATTTTATAAATTCTAATTACATATTTTTATCAAAATTAAATATATCATCATATTTATTAGATTTTAATAAAAAAAATTTAGTTTATATATGTATTTTTGCATTTGGATCAAGGTGTGATTTTAATAAAATCTTCTGAAGATTATTCCGAATTTCAAATTTCTACCTGAGAGAAAAAATTCGCATGCAATTCTATTATTTTGGTAATCATATTGCCATATTTTTTTTAATTAGCTTTTTTACTAACAAACTGGTAAGGTAACTTGTAGAGAGTGCAATCATGTGGCAAAATCCTCTAGTACTTTCGTAAGATCTGTTTGGTTATTTATTTATTTATTTATTTAAATAGGAGCAATGATAAATTTAAAAGGTTCCTATAGTTATAGTGTCTTGAACCTTAACAGACTGATTATCATATTATCTTTTTAAGAAAATATTTTTAGCAAGCTAAACAATCCCTTAATTACTATTAATTGTTGTACACCAATGCATATTCTAGTGGTAAGTGCATGTATGATTTAGCAGTAAATCCAAATTCGAATTATCTTCTCTAATATTAAAAAAATTTGCTATTAATTGCTAAAGGGTGTATATTG